CACAGAAAAAGGTACACAGATATAATAACCAAATAAACAGGTTTCTTTTTTCAGCTCTGTTTTATTTTAATTATGAAATTGACTCTCATCTCAAAAGATAAGAGCAGGATTTAATACAATACTGAGGAATTTTGAAGCATCATTTAAAATCATCAGAAAATTTTTAAATTATTAATAAAATATCTTACTCAATATGTAACATTTTTGCTAATGACTTACTTTTAGTGTTAATGATGCAATTTATAGATTGTATTTTAATCAAAATTTTTAAAAATTCATTGTTATATGAGAGTATCGGAGAAATTAAAGACAAAAATAGACAGCGAAAAAGACATTTTTGTTGTCATCGTCGGAAAGGTGAAAGGACAACATAGGTATCATTTGGTATTAGTGACATCGATAAAATTTGCAAAGAGAGTGGGAGGAAGAGAAGGAGAAATCATATTGGCAGGGATTTGGAAGATGAACATGGATGGACCCGAATAATTTTCACTAAAATAAGCGTTGAATTAAGACTAACATAGTAATATCACAAATATAATAAAATTTATTAACAGTAACACTTGTAGTAGTAGAATCTATAGAACGGCATATATTAGGAGCTAATGGATACTACTATTTATTGTTAAAAAATGCTGGTGAGTGATGTAGTCGTAACGATTGTTAGAAAAGCAACTAAAGACAATAGAAACAGGTGGAGAAGAAGAAAAGAGAACCAGGAGAAAGGTAAGAAAATTAGCAGTAGTAAGAGGCAAGGGTTATTTTGATGATGATGGAGATATTCCTTCTTTCATAATGAAATGCTGGGATAGAGAGAAAAGGCCAGAAAACAGGACCCATGCATGTAGAATAAAGACTTTTCAATGAGATCAAGGAGAATAGGGAAGATGAAGGACAGAAATAAGTCAAGCATAGGAAATGAGAGATTAAAGAAAAAAGAAAGTAATAATATGAGAGAGAAAGAGAAGGCAGAAGGTAAATTGAAGAGAAGGAAATCTAATATGGAGAGACAAATTCAAAGAAGATGGGAAGAGAAGGATGATAAAAAGCTGATGAATGAGTGGTTAAAGAAATGTGAGTAACTGAACGAGATACGCACACACACACACAATATATATATATATATATATATATATATATATATATATATATATATATGAAAAAGTATTTACAGAAGAAGAAAGAGTGAGAATGAAGTAATAAACTAAGGGGTAAAGAAAGAGATACATAACGAGAAGGAATAGGAGGTAAAGGAGGGTAAGGAATAAAAAAAAGGAGAGTAAATAAAGCAACAGCTTAAAGTGTGGATAATTATGAAATACAAAGTTATAAAAAAAAGAAAAAATCGAAAGAGAAAAGAAGACAGTTGGAAAAAAGTTGTTATTGAAGGTGAAAGAAAACAAATGTATTTAAAATCGAGATGTTTGAATAAAATAAATAGTAGCCATCATTCTTAATGTCTCTTCTCAACATCTGCTTTTTTTATTTCTCTCTAAAAAGTTTTAAAAAGGTTGAACGGAGAAAACTAGGCGATACCCCCAAAGCAATGTTATTTATGTACAACTTACAGTATTAAGAGAATGAAGAAAGTGAAACACTGTACAACGTAAAATACTTTAAAGAACAGTAAAGAGAGAAAATAAATAAGAGTTAGGAGGCTATACGAAGAGAAAGAATTAGCAAGAACAAGAGTAAGGCAACAGATAAAAATGAGAGTTGAAAAAGTGTGGGTGGAATTATATTATGAAAGTGAATTTATATATAGAGAGAGAATCGAAAAGTTTATGAGCGCCCTGCTTTGTGGGTGTCATAGTTACGTATTTCCTATCAGTGTCAGGGTTCGAACCCAGATTAAAGTAAAAAAATTCAAAGTCTTTTGATTGTCATTACATAAACCTTCCTGATTTTAAACCCTTGTCATAGAATCTAAGTTTAAATATCGAGAAAACTTTGGCTAAAACGTGAAGAGTAAATTGGAGAAGTAAGTGAATGTGTCGATGAAAAAATACAATGAAGGGAGGAATTAAATCGAATAAAAGCAAATATGGAACCAGAAAAATAAATAAATAAATATGAAGGGAAAATGCGACAAGAAAAAAACAAAACAAAAAACTAATTCATTAAAGACTGACGTACTCTAAGAAGACGGCTGCCTGCTACAGATCAGTGACAGATGTCTTATCTAAATGGTTAAGTAAATCTTCTTGTGGATGAAATTGCTTTAGGTTTGTGACAGATTAAGGTAAACGTAACAAATAACTATTTCGTGGATTAAATAGTCGTGTTTCTCAGTGGTTTGATGTTCTAACCCCAGTAAAAGCTAAGATTTCGAATACTGATTGTCACAAACCCATCTCACTTAGAAGTTTAGCGAAAATAAAATCTTTCTCATACTATTTCTTTCAATTTGACTATGCGCAGTGACAAACTAAGCATACTGAATATTATGTACAGTAAAAGAGAGAGTAGAGAATTAGAATGAATAAAAATAGAATATGGAAAGAGAGAGAGAGAGAGAGAAAGAGAGAGATGAAATGAAGGGTTAAAGGTTTTATGAAATTCGTGATAAGTGTAAGGATAAACAAAAAGAGATAAGGCAGGACAAAACGCATACATATAGAATAGAGTTCAATAGATATTTACAACCTTACGTATTAAGAATTTTACAAGTATTTATACATACTAATAGTCATGTGATCAAAATGGCCCTTCAGTGACTCAGTTTCAGTATAACAAAAACCATCACTATTTGTAGCCGAAACACATTGTTCGCACTAATTGAATGCAAATATATTGAATGTATTTTCAAATGAATGGCTGCAGAAGACATCGGGTAAGAACATTTGCTCGAAACTTTTATACCAATGGGTGTAACTTGAATAAATCATGTTATGTTTGATAATAATAAACCTATTCCAATGAAAGACCGTTTAATTATTAACCATTCAGTTTTGCTGAATATAGCTTTTTAAGTTTATATTTGGCGTTGTTTATTCATTGCACCATGATTAATAGACCAAGACCAATCCAAACTAGATTTGAAGAAACAACGTTGATATTTGGTCAAAATCAAATAACGAATATATCTTCATGTTTGAAGGGAAGAGGGTGGAGCTAAGAAAGCAGAAAAAATAACTAAGGCGGGAACATAAAAATTTCCAAAGTAAAGGAACAGTGTGAATCAAGTGAATATCATGCGACTTTAAAAGAGAATAAAATCTTCAAACTAATCTACGTAAAATGAATTGGGTAAAGTAAAAACAGGTTTATGTGAGGTAAATCACATACAAAGTAAAGAACTAATTTATTTTCTTTCGTTGATGCGAGTTAAAGAAAGAAAGACGTGAATGAAAAGGGAAAAAGAATAAGGAATAGGGGGTAGATTTGAAAATAAAAGGGAAACACAAAATGTAAAGAGAAAAGGTTGGAAGAAAAAAAGAAGTGAGATTATTTTTGAAGGGATAAAAATAAAAAGAGGGTGTTAAAAAAGAGATTTAAAAAACACTAATTGACTATAAAGAATGAGTTGAAAGAAATATATGCACACACACACACACACACACACACACACACACACACACACACACACACACATATATATATATATATATATATATATATATATATATATATATATATATATATATATATAATATTTATGGAAGAGCACTCAGTTCTGGAAATAAAGCGATTGTATGTATAGACAGTGTGTTTTTTCTTTCTTTTTTTGCCCAACATTTCAGTTTAGTTCTTAACCGCTAGGCTACTGACGTAGATATTTAATTATATAGGTAAAATCTTGTGTAGAAACAAACGCTTTTCGGAAGAACTGATAGCAAAAATGGAGCATAGGGTAATATGAAGTCTCCAAACGGCTCTATCTAGTTTTGAATTCAGTATTCCTCCTTCTTAGACTAGCCACCATCCAAGACAAGAGGACTCAGTCAAAAATTCGTGTGTGGGAGTTAGAAGGTTATCACTTATATTATGTAATCTTCGGACAATGTCTGTTACCTACATATATAAGGTGTATTTGTTTTAGGTGTATACTGGATTTGTGTAATGATTAAAAGAAAATGTACAAAGTATTGATGAATACAAAATAAATCTATATATATCTCAATATAATAATACGTGGATAACGTGGAAATGCAATTTCAAGATTTCACATGTAAAAATCTTGGCACATACGAGAGAGAGAGAGAAAGAAAAGAGCCGTGGAGGAAGTAGAATATATATATATATATATATATATATATATATATATATAAGCTTGGAAGTATGGTCTGATGAACCAGGTAAAAACCACATACCTGGGAAATAAATTATAACCAATGGGCCCTTAAGGTTGTCTGTTTTCTATTTAAATTGAATTAATATATATATATATATATATATATATATATATATATATATATATCACGTGCTGAAGAAAGGTATATTTTTTTCAAAGTAGCACGACAGTTAAACCGTGTAAAGTCGCCAATATGACAAGCTGTTGTCATGCAAATGTCATATGTCATCTCTGTGTATGTTACGACAACCGTAGTAATGGACAATATTAATTTATCGACTCTGATTTTGGTTGATTTTTCCATCTGTTTATCTACACATCTATAGATCTGCTTTGCAAAGTCTGCTCTGCTTCTTATTGGATCCTGGTTGTGAAAGTTCGAATAACCAATCAGGAAGCTATCTATTTTTAGAAATGGGTAAATTTTGGACTCTGTTATTATTTGTTTATTTCTTTTTTACATGCTGGTTGTGAAAGCTTACTGAAGACTATTTCAAACTTTTGACTTCCCAAAGAATATCAGGATGTAATTAAAGCAATCCTGCCTACTGCACAGACATCACATTGGTGCTTGAAAATGACTGGGATTGGTCGAAAGAACTTCAGCAAACAACGTGAACTTCGGACAGTTTATTCACAATTTTGATCCCAATACACGGCACCATATTTGAAAATTGGAAAAACTACGCTAAACAAAATTAAACAGACTTATTTGGATGAATACTTGCTGCTGAAATATACCTTATTCATATCTATCTATCTATCTATCTATCTATCTATCTATCTATCTATCTATCTATCTATCTATACACAAGTTTCGTTAAAGACGGCTGACAAGGTACTGCGATTAAACTTTTTATTTAATTTTTCTTGTGTTCGTACAAGTGTTTTATTTTCTGGACACTGTGTGAAACACGGCCACAACATGCTGACCGAGTTTGGAAAATAAAACATTCCTATAACTTCAGATACATACATAAAAATCCCACACATTCAGTTAAAAATAGAAATCGTCCATGATAATGTCTAAAAGAATATCCAAAAGCAATAGGGTATGCAGAACTTTTGGACAGAACTTTGTTTCAGAAAAGAAAAACGGTGTCGCAATAGCTTTTCAGTCGTGTTTAACGAAACTTGTATAAAAAAAAAGGATTGCTACCCAAATACTATATATATATATATATATATATATATATATATATATATATATATATATATATGTGTGTGTGTGTGTGTGTGTGTGTGTGTGTGTGTGTGTGTGTGTGTGTGTGTGTGTGTGTGTGTGTGTGTGTGTGTGTGATTCTAAAAAAAAAAGCTAACTGAGGAAATTGTTGAGTCAAAAATTAAATGAAACATGTTCCCTTTTATCGTAGAAAGCCATTATGGTAAATTTAAGACGACTGTTGTGAACAGACTTTGTCTTTATCTCTTACGATAAATCCGCAGGTTTCAGTTTGAGGAGATATGAAACTGTGTCAAAATGAAGTGAAGAGAAAAAAAAATCAAAATAAACGAAACAATAGTCACAAGACAGCTGAATTTCAAACATTTCCGTTTAAAATGGAGAATTAATTAAAAATAATGCAAAGGTGTTACTGAGTTGTTTCCCTTTCGGAAACGAATGATTTTTAATCTGATTTTTATCTCTCGACGGAAAATCCTTTTTGTTTTTTTAATTTTTGTTTGCTGTACACATCATTTAGTTTTGTGGTCAGCTGAATTTATGAAAAAAAAAAGCATCAACATGCTAAACGCTTCTATCAATATGAAGAACATATTCGCAATTCGAATTTGCACTTTGGTATTTTCACAAAGTTGAAATCTGCTACTACTAACGCGTTAGCAATAATCAGCAGAAGGCAATAAATTTCGTCAGATTTCTTTTTGCTTAAGTTGAGGGCCGAACTCATTTTTTGCTTTTATTTAAAAGAAAATTATATTTTCCTTTGAAACGTAAACAAATTCAAAGTATTAATTTAAGTCAATTGTAAATAACATCCAACAAAATAAAACTTCTATTGTTTTTAATATTCAGCTTGAAAATAAATTTGTAAGTTTTAGCTATAAGAATTCAAATTTGGCCAAGCTCCATGAAAGTCATCTTAAAATGACAACGTTACGTTGATGTAAACCGCTATAAATAAAACATTTAAAGTAGACGTCTAAATAACATTTAAATTTGAGAGCAAATAATGTCCAAATGATAAAGTTTCTTTCCTTTGATTCTCTCAGCGGATCGTATTGAATTTTAATGAGCAGCAAATTCAATTTCAACAAACGTAGGCAATATCTTGTAAATAGATTGTTTCTCGTAGGCAATATCTTGTTAATACATTGTTTCTCTACAACAACTTGGACTGGTCTTTCATTTTATATACTTAGTGGTATTTGAAATCTTAAAAGATCTAATATAATATTTTTACGCTAACCTCAAACCTCCAAATTGTTGCTTGCGTGAAGAATTGAATACCAACTACTGGAATTTTACACATATGAACATGAAATATCTTTATTATTATCTGAATCATATTAATTGTATGTTAGAATTTAATTGTATGTTAGAATTTACGCGTTTATTTACAGTTGTCCTATAAACTATACATATATTACTACTTTCCCAAGCCAACATACATGACAGCAAATATGTTGAAAAATCAAAAGAAAACAGTTAAATCCATCACCTCGTGTTGTTAAAGATGTACATCACATACATCCATCTCATGCAGTAATCTAGTTACAATTTAAACAATATTCATTTTTTTTTTAATTCCTGAATATTATTCGCTTACTTTTTGCCAGACTTATGGCACTTTAATCCTCCATATGTTTTGACTGACTTGATGAACAATCATGAACATTCTCAAATTCAAAAGACTTGATAAACCAATGACGCCCTCGCTTTTGTATATAAACTCACGCAAGAAGATAAATCCTACATTGATTTGGTAAAGTCCCTCAGAGGACAAAATACATTGGCTAAGAATAGTTTTCCTCGTGTATCTTTTTATTCATGTTTTTTTAAAATAAGTTTTTTTTTTGTTCTTTATGAGTTTGGAGTCATGATATTTACTTGGCATTTAGGATAAAACTTGGGCAACTTAATTCATTTTAAGAAACAATATTTCAAGACAATAACTCCTTTAACATGCTTTCTCTACTTAATAGCTCAAGTTTTAACGGAAGGTTATATTTATAGAGCAATTAGAGAAGCTTAAATTTACTATGAAGGACTTAATAGACAACTTGCTTTCTACTGAGCAATAAAAACAAACTCTTTGACGAGGTTTAAGTTTATCATCTGCATTTATAAATTTGAGCGCAGTAATAGATTGACAGCAAGGTTTTGTCATTTTACAGTTGAAATAGTTAGATGTAACCGTAAGTTCTATGCTATCAGTTTCTTCTCTCGCACTTCTCACTTCTGGAACTCTTCTCCGGTTTCTTGCTTTCTTTGCATTTAAATTTTTGAAGATCAATGTCAAATGTTATCTTCTGTCTTCTTAATATGACACTATTTAGCTATGGTAATTGGCTAACTAATTAACCATAGAAATCAAAACAGGAAAAAATTACGACGAAAAGGAGATATATTTTATTTCATTTACGAAAAAGATACTTTTCACAAAAGACAGTAAACCCATGGAAAAAGCCATATGTCAGGTTGATTAATGTCTTGCCGAGGGAGATGGGAAGAAAGGCAAATATTAAGATATCGGCCAGACCATAGCGGTCATAAAAATTTCGGCCGATACAAGCTGGGAGAATCAATGTTAATTATCTTTCCAAGATATCGTTTTTTTTTCTTGGCCACCAGCAGGGAAAAGCAATGTGGCAATTATAACATTTTGGCATTGCCTCGACATAAGTGAGAAGATTGTTATTATTTACCTTATCAACGTGTCGCTTCAGACGCTGAAACGTTGAATTGCAATATGGCGTTTGTAAAATTTTGGCATGAGACAGAAAATAGAGTGGAGAATTGAGATTTCGCGAGATAAAAGAATTTTATTTCTCAACAAGCCAAGGATTTCATTATAAAGCTAACTTCACAAAGGGGCCAGATGGCAAACTTTGACAGCGATTGATGGAGTGGGTAGAGAATGCTGGCTAAGTGAATTCTGGGTGGCCAAAAGATATGACAGAAATTTAATTGGCAATATGGAATTCGTAAAAATTTTGGCGGATGGAAAAAAGGAGAATTTTGTAAACAAAAATTCTAGATTATAATTTTAAGGAGGCCAGCCTAGCCACAACCGCACGGCCGGGATGGCATTTGTCGAGTGGTAGCAATGTTGATAGGCGGAGGGGGAATGAATGAGAAGGACGGAGAAGTTATTAACGCCCACTGAAAGGATTGGTATGAGATATCAATGTGAGAGAGGAAGAGTCTAGGAGGATAGTTCTACTCCGACCTTCCCTCACGGACGAGGGAGCCCCCCCCCCGAAATGGAAAGTGATTAATTTTCAAAAATTGGGAAATAATCAATTTTCCTGGCCTGACAACAAAGAGATTTCTTGTTGGGAATCGAGATTCACCGAGAACCCCAGGCCGCATCTGGCCGCGCGCCGGGTTTTGGTCGGTGCCCATATAAACGAACGTCCTCGGGCTGTTGGAGTTCTGAGTTAGAGTTCTGAGTTGGAGTCGAAGTTGAGCTGGTTTTGAAGTTAGAGTCAGAGTTTAACCAGAGTGTTGCCTCGCAGAAGCTGACCAAGAGATTCCACGACTTCCGACTTCGCCAATCCTACCAATAGCAAGTCATACTGACGGACGAAGCCAAGCCAGCACCTAAGATCTAAATCAGCTGACTTAAGATACCAACTTGCTTGAAACGTAGAAGTGTCACATTTCGTAGAAAATGGACTGGGAGAAAAACACACTCACCGAAAACACCAGGCCGCGTCTGGCCGCGCACCGGGTTTTGGTCCTAATAGAAGGATAAAGTTAATTTGTTATTTCTTAACATACTTGAACCTCTTGGATTTTTCTTTCTTTATTTTTTTCCTTTGCGCTTGTGCGATACCACCTTCGGTCCGGACTCAGCCTACACTACGGCCCGACGCCTGATTTATCTCGTCTACATAAGATCAAAGTCACAAAGTGGGTAGGTTAGACTTGAGATCGAATCAGTTACTCCAATAACCAGACGTTGCAAGTGAGCTGGAAACGATAGAGCTGGTATTGAACCGGTACAGCTGATGAAGCCGTTAACATCGACGACCAGAATTCCACTCTGGACGGGCCAGTGTCCCATATTGGTATGCTGACCAGGGGATTTCGCCGAGTAGCGACGACCATCGATCGACCGGGACACAGGCTGGTGGCGGCGACAAAGAGTCAAACCCAAAACGTCGGTAGAAAAAACATTACAGTTTCGCGCTGCGACTGGGAGTTGACCACGGGCCGACGGCTGGGTGTCACATTAATTTCTGTTCTTTTATTGTTCTCTCCTTTAATATTGTTTTTGTTTTTCTTATATTCTCTCACACTCATTAATCCCTTGTATTTTAGTGGATTTATTGTCTTGTTTGAGGTGAAATGATTTTTAAAAAAATCGTGATTTCGTCGAGTGGGTTCTTTTCCATGTTCTCTGCCAGTCATTACACTATAAATGTTTCGTCCGGTGAAATGGTATAATCTCGTGTTTAGATCAAAAAACGAAACATAAGACGAAGAACATTTAACAAAACTGATTTATTCCGTCATTATTCAATCATCAAACAGTACCATTCGATTTATAAGTGATCAATGTCGAAAGCATAATCCAATCGGAAACATGATTTCCTGAATTCAGTGTATCATTTTTCAGTTTGAACAAACATATTTCCATCTGGCGTGCGCCGTAGTAGGAAAGAATACCAAATGTTTTAAGTCGACTTCTTTTTTTATGGTTTTATTTCGGCTTTTACTTCACATAATTTCATGAACGCATGAAAAATGTTTCCTTATTGAAGTTAACATTTCAGAAAATTACTGCCCTGTCTAGCACAATATACAATCTAAAACTGATTCCCGAGAATAAAATTTTACTTCTCTTAAATTATTAGGATAACTTGATAGTGTAACAACTAGAAACTTAATTTTCTTGATTATTCTCAAAATAAATTATGAGGAATTCAAATTCTGTAAAGCAAAAAAGGAAAAAAACAAACCCGAAGTAACTCTTCCAACGGGTGTCTTTTATTATTATTATTATTATTATTTGAAATCCTCTCTGAATCTTAGACCGAATGATTCTGATCATATCTCCTACTGACAGCTTAGAGACACAACACTTTATTAGTACACGAGCTTTTCCAAGCGACGATGCCATTTGCGCACGTCTAATAATGTCAAATATTCCCAAAGCATCTTGCGGGGTAGAGATATTCTTAGAGATAGTCCCGAGTGCGCCAAGCACAACAGCTGCTGCACGTTACACTTTCCCCGTTTGCTCTGCTCGGTCTTGGTACCTCTCTACATTCGCCTTCACGATGTTTTTATCCCAAGATGCAACAATATCTATCGGAATTCATTCATAGTTGATGATGTGCTTGTGATGCTAGAGTTTTCGCTCACCAAGCGCTTGTAAAGATGGTTGTATTTTATGTGCTCGTTCTCGGCTACTGATGGTGAATGCTCATGTCACTGCCCATTCGAGTCCATACTTACTGTATAATTCTCAGTGTATTTTGAGGGTTTCTTTGTTATGGCTTCGTCTGTACTCATTGCGTTCCATCCGAGTCCAATCATTGACAATGTGTTGCACACTTTCAGTAACTTGCACAAGAATTAACGTGCTGTTTTTTCAGCAGTGAACCTTGATTGAATTTGTTTTTAAGTCAGCTCTTGCACTCTACAGACCATTCCTTCTGTTTCCTCTTTCAAGAATCCGTTCCTAACCCTAACCTCCATAATCCTGGGTCTGGTTTCTTGTGCTAGCGCTCTGTGCAAGTTTTTTTTTCTTTCATACATCGACTTTTTCATCAGAGATTCTCTACCTGTAATCCGCAAAATTTTCTGCATCCACCATGACATTTTCATTCAGGGAAGCCTTTTGCAGCCACACCAAGCTAATCTGTAAATTCTGATGCAATGAATTACACTGATATCACACACTATTTTATAAATATCAAACCTCTTCTGCTTCCTTTTTTCAGGGTAGGTAAAGTGTAGTCCCAGGATGTAAGCAGCTGATCATGGTTATAATCTTCCTTGTCTTTCGGTTCAAATTTGCTAGGTTCTCTTTGCTCTATTCAACAATACCT